AATGTTTCTGTTCCCAATTCTTCCACACAATGTAACTCTTTTGCGTCTTAGTGGCTTTATTGCCTTGCATGATACCTATTAAAAATTTATTTGGAACGAAATATTCCAGTTTGGTTCATTTGATTCAATCACTCGCAAATAATCTTGGGTAAGGTGTGAATCCATCTCCCCCAACCCTGGGTTAAATAGTAACAATACATAGTAATCTAGAAAAGCTCTTGGTATTCTTAACGAATTGTTAATGCAATATCCACTAAAAAAAACAAGATTTATATTTACCATTCAAAATATGTTTCGTCATTAAATAACATACAAAAGGTTGATAACCCGTAAGAAATAACGCAATCAAAGAATATGTTGAGAGAATTAACACATTAGAATTAGCGGGCGGACATGGTTTTCTTAGGTTACCAAAGTTGGTAGATTGAGTTTGAAAATGACCCTGTTTATGCTGTATTTTTGTTTTGTTTTTCTTTTTTAGATTAGAATGTTTCTATATTATCAATGAGATAAGTTCACAAAATTTCGGCCGTTCTCTCATCCTACGTTCAGGAGATATCTTACCATTGGTCGTCGGCACCACCCATTGTCCGAGATTGGATCATTCGGTGGCGCCACGATGCTTGAACCTGACATGGTACAAGAGGCCAATTCCGGTCATTGATCGCATGTTAGAGCGGGAGATGGTTTTGACTGGAACTGCGCAGTCCAGCATTGCCTTTTTTCTTTACTTCATCTTCAACCTTTCTCCTCTCCTCGAATATAGAACAACCGAAACGAATCGCTCTTCGCCAAGATGAGCGGTGCCGCTTTTGTCTCCCAGATGTTAGGGCTGATTCCAACTTGAAGGAGGGAAGCCATCAGTTGGTCTTTCAATCTACGTTTTAGGGCTCCGCGATGTCGTTTGCTCGCTGTAAAGCATGGTCCACGGGAGTATTGAAAGGGCCATTTGGGTGACAGGTCCTGACCACGATGCTTGGGGATGGTGGCTTCAATGCTCGCCATTTCTCAGCGATTGAGGAATTAATTGTTGGTCCCTACCATTTGATGTTGAGGATCAGCCCTACCTTGTGTTGTTGGAAACATTCAAGCATTTTCTGGCCCTTTCGATACAGTGTCCACGTCTCGACAGAGTTGAGGAAGATAGAGATGACAACGACTTTCACATCGGCATGTCTTTCCTGGATTGTGAGAGAGTTCTGCCAAGTTATTAAAAGTCGTTGACAGCTTCCAGAGGCAAGGCCCTTCTGTTAATGGAAATGTTAATGGAACCAATAACCTATCCGGAAATTGTAATTTTTATCTATTTCTGTCGTCACCTTCTTTTGTGATGATAACAAACACTCGTTGTCCCTCTTGTAATATCAACACATACTCGTTGTCGTAGAGACTTTCTATTCGCAGATACAACGTCGTTGAACAACACTGGTGTCAGACGTCTTCGAATATCACACGCACTAATAGTACTTGCTCGATACTACTCGCTCAAATAGTAATCCTTATAGTGATCCGAATAGAGAAATAGTACAGAGAATAGCGGTCCATATAGTAATAGAGGATAGACTAGAATTGAGATCCAAATAGTAATAGAGGATAGACTAGAAATGACGATCAGTTAGAAATCACGATACTACCTACTTATGCGTTTCTTCCATGGTTAAATGATCCACTAAGTTCGATGATGGGATCGCTTGTGTTTGCACATTGGCGATCTGTGTTCAAATTCAAGTGTCAGCAGAGACACTTTATCTCTATATAACACCTTCCTTTATGCAAAAGGGTAGGGACAAGAATGTGTTCAATTTATCCGAATTCTAACAGAGAAGTTGGGATAATATTGACAGGTTCTCATAGTCGAAAAATCATGATGGAAAAATGGGGCAATATATTTTTCAATGATTTACTATAAAATATTTGTTAGCCAAAAATATGTACAATGGAAAGTCAAATGAATTCTTCATTTTTGCGTCAAGCCGTTTAAGGTCATAGGCGATCATGGCTCTCCACAATTTCCTGTCCTTTGTAGCACTTAATACAGTTACTATTTCTACTATCCCTCCTAGTACCTGTTCTGCCAACCATTTGCACAAACTTTACCTGTTCAAATCTCGGGTTAACCGATATCTTCCCCACCTATCCGAATAAACTGTATCTCTGTAACTTTTCTGCTTTGTGTAACCGACTCCCAAGAGGATAATTCATTGATCTCTTCAATCTTAACCTTTTCAAGGTTAGGGTTAACTATTAAGTAACCTGTAACGCTCTACCTCGAGTAGCCACAGAGCCTTGCACAGGGTGAACCCCACTGTTACAAGTAATCCTTCTAGCGCTACCGAATCAAAAACAACTGCCATTGTTATGGCATGTAACCCGAAGAGAAAATAATAACATAATCGCAGACGTTTTCCTCTATGTGCCGCCTACTTTCTCAACATAGACGATAGTAGCTCTTCACAACCTCCGATTCCTTGTGATCCTTAACAGCTTCTCTCCCTTTCCTAAGAAACAAGTCCGCCTTTCTGCATCCATTCGTCAGGGAACGAACTCATAAACTTCCCCTATCTCTCTTGCCCTTAATATGCCCCGTGAGAGTTAAGTTTTCCAAAACTTCCTTTCTCATTACCTGTCTAAGACATTGTTATGGAGTAGTTTCACAGTGGAATTTTGTATTTGTACTAAGTCGGTCCTAAAATAGATTCGACGTACAAAACGTTAGGAACTTGATATAATAGGTAATGACGCAGTAATCTAGTTGTGGTGGCTGATACTTTAATATCCGACTAACGGTCGTCCGGCATCGACTGACTGACCAACTCACTGAGCGAATTAGCGACTGACTCGTTACCCTTACTACTCCTACTTATTATAGTTAGGAGAGTCTGTTAACTATAGAATAGGTGTGTTCCACTATAACAGGAATTTCAGCTGTATTTCCCTGACTTAGCGTCGAAGTAATCTCGGTTGCCATTTTCTTTAAGAATTTCTTGTTATTTACTCGCAGAGTTCATAGAAATTGCAGTATCCCTTTGTAAAGGCATATTTCTGTTGTTTCTAATGTTTTTAGCCCTTATCCTTAGGGCAGTTATGGTAATTTACCCAAGCACGCATGAACTCTCCCAGCTATAAATAGGAGCAGGTACTGCCTTTTAGAGAGAGAAGTTTCCAGCAGTCAGCTCTGAGAGTCGGACCGAACATTCTTGCTGTAACACTCTCGTTTGTATTACTGTTTCTGTTAATATATTTGTTTAACTCAATTCCTCTCTTGTGTTTTTATTTCTGGCCCTAACAAAGCCACAACAGAAGTTGTTCAACATTGTATGCAATATATGAGGATGGATGTCACACAGAAATCCAGCTCTCTTTTATTTGTTTCTCAACACTTCGCTCAGCATTTGGAGTGCCTCCTTGGCTAGTGCAGAGCCTGTTCGGATCTCAGTGTCACATTTTTCATCGTCTCTGAGAACGCTTTCGAGATATTAAAAATTCTGCACATGTTTTATGTTGACATCTCTAACTTGTAATAGGCATCTTCGGTTTTTCTTTTGCTGATTAATATACTTTCTGTCTTCTTTCAGTTAATGGTTACTCCTTTGTTGTCGCTTTCATCAATCAGCCTGTCTCGGAGCTCTTGTGATATTTTTCCGAATTGACCATCAACACAGCGTCATCTGCGTATCATATATTTTTAATGTATTTGTCATGATATGGACACCAAAAAGATTAAGCGCATATTCATCCAACTACTATTTTAAAAGATTCTTAACATCTGACTCAATTGCATTGTCCGGTCTAATATTGATTATATTCATGGCCAAATGTTAGCTGTTTGTTAGTCTTTGCTTTAGATACGGCTGGTGACTGCGGCCATTAAAACACTGAGACACAAACATAAGCCATTGCTTAGTCAATGTCACCAGTGATCCGACAATTAGTTCGCCAAATATAAACCTTACTTAAACCGAGGTGTGTATCGACCGTTTCAAATTACTTTTGGATAAGAGTAAAGGTACCTCACTTGGTTCTTGTTTAGGATTGGGTTTCCATTTCTTTGCGAATTCTCTTTCATTGTCCGTAGCCCCTTGCATCTTAGGGACATTATTGCCTTGCTTAGGGTGGGAATTCATAAAAAGAACGATAGATAGATAGATAGATAGATAGATAGATAGATAGATAGATAGATATGAGCAGAATGAGATAGATATATGGATAGATATGAACAGAAGGAGATAGATAGATATGAACAGAATGAAATACATAGATATATATGAAGAGAATGAGATAGCTAGCTAGTTAGCAATATATATAGATATATAAGAACACACAGAGATAGATATGAATAGACTGACACACACAGACACACACACACATAGATAGATAGATAGATAGATAGATAGATAGATAGATAGATAGATAGATAGATAGATATGAACATAATGAAATAGATAGATAGGAACTGACTGAGATAGATATGAAGAACCTGACATATATATATATATATATATATATATATATATATATAGATAGATAGATAGATAGATAGATAGATAGATAGGAACAGACTGAGATAGATATGAATAGACTGAGATAGATATGAAGAAACTCACACAAAACACACACACACACACACACACACACACATATATATATATAGATAGATAGATAGATAGATAGATAGATAGATATAAACAGAATGAGATAGATAGATAGATAGATAGATAGATAGATAGATAGATAGATAGATAGATAGATAGATAGATAGGATCTCTACATGCTTCCGCTCATATCGGGATTCCACTCCCTTCAAACGCCTTATCATTTCACTTCCTTGCGTCTTTGCGGCATTATCGTCTTGCTTTGGGGGTGAACTGATTAAAAAAAATATACTGAGATGGACATTCATTTGTATTCATGAGTTCATATGGCCTGTACGTCTTATCTTTTCTATTTATCTATCTCTACAGATAGGATCAATACGGGATATTAGGTCCGTTTATATTCATGACTATAAGAGGATGGGTTCTTGTCTCGGAAATGATTTGAAACATTGAACAAATCGGATGAATCATTAGGAAGATATAAACCAGTTGCATTCTATCCTTGTAAAATCATTATATTTGCATCGTTAGTACTTACAAACCATCCCCACTGATTTGCTTGGCGAATAACACTATATTAGCCTTTACAAGGCAGGCATTAAAATATATATTATCTTGGAGATCAATGGATATGATCAATTGATGTTTTAGTTTGTTTAAACGACAGAGGGCATCTTTCATTCATGATTTGCGTCTAAATTACAAATTGGAAATTCTAGGGCACATAAGGTTACAATTTTCTAAAAGATATTAAGTTATTTCCTGGAATATTTGCCTGCAAATAAATCTCAAAGAACATGGCATGCATTTCTGGAAGAGAAAAATGAGGCGAAAAATAGTGACAAGTTAATGCAAATCTTGATTGTTTGATTTATTTATTTTTTTACGTCTTATCAACCCGTTGTGGGATATTTCAAGCTCAAATATATTTCGGATTATAAGAATTTTTTCGAATAAATATATTGTTAAATATTAGTTTAAAAGACTATTATTCTTTTAGAGGAAGCGTAACTCTGCTCGGACTTCCTGTAGTTGATCTTCGACAAAATAAGGAAGTCGATTTTGATTAGCTGAACGAGCGTGGAGAAGGAAATAGAGAGAGAAAGTTTATTTTCATTGTGTTGAGTCTTAACCGTCAAACAATGTAGACGTGTATTCTTTCGTGTCTGAAACAGTTCCCCCGATGAGGGGGGAAACGACTTCCCATTATTTAATTGGTGCAAAAATAATGACTGGTTCAAGTCGTTTTTTGACGTTCAAAAATACGTCAAAAAACGACATTATTACGTCATTATTTTTGCACCCACCTACTAGGTATAACATGTCGAAATGAACGTTAATAAAATAGTTAAATTAAAATTCCGTGCTGAGGTCCGTTTATCTCTCGACTCAAAACAACTAGCGATCACCGGCTGCGAAAGAAGAATTCAATTTTATTATCAAATTAACGCCAACGTCCAAAACCTCCCAACATGAGGGGGCTATATAACATATAAATATTTGGCGCAGACACCAGGAGCTCCCAGCATCAGAGGGCTATACAACATTTGCATTAATATTTCTTTTAAAATATTCTTTTCGATAGATACTTTTCTGATACATGTCCTTCTATTTAATCCATACCTGGGGGAAGAGGTGAATCCATGCCTTTCACAACGGTATTTCCATGAAAGTGAATATGACGAACCCGGCTGGGATTCAAACTCGACTCCCTAAGTTTTAATTACGTTGATGCGAAATAATGCACAACTCCATCTTGCATGAAATGCATCAATGAGCATCATACTGTTTTCAATATTTAATTCAGGAACGTAAGCTTGGATGTGCAGGTGGTGCAATAGATGGCTCCCAGTTAGAAATTCCGAGAGCCGAGTTCGATTTCCAGTCTGGTTCCTTAGATACAATTAGACGCACATTCTCTTGAGAGAAGTCCGAATCCATCTCTTCTTGCTCGCACTTGTTATCGGTAAATCGCAGGACAGACTCGCTCCTATAGCCATGGGTTGCAAACAGTCTACTACAGAATGTAACGTTAGCCTATGGCTGGAATTCTTCTGGCAATACAGTTATTATTCATGCTAAGGAAGAATTGATTCGTTTTTACGGATTATCAACCCTTTGCAAGTTATTTAAAGCCAGAAAATATTTTTAGATTCTAAGACATTTTAGAGATGATAATGATTTAGTGATACAAGTTTTAGCAATGAACCCATAACAAGAGGAAGAGATATATATTGCTGGGTGATCATGGCTCTCCACAATTTCCTGTCATTTGTATCTCTTAGTAATTTTATATTTTTGTTATTTCTCTTAATCCCTAATATCCATCTATTTGCCCTTTTTCTTCTTCTTGCTGTGGGTGATCATGGCTCTCCCCAATTTCCTGTCATTTGTTGTTCGTACTAATACTATATTTTCTAATCTTTAGCTTGCAAACCATTTGCACAAAATTCTTCCTCTATGTGCTCTGTCTCTTCAGGACCAGGACGATCATAGCTCTCCACAACTTCCTGACATTTGTTATATCTCCTAATCGCCATTCAGCCAACTATTTTCACAGGCTTGTTAGTTTTTCTTTGCCCATCTTCATCTTTCATTTTTCTCTAAAACTTCGTTGTTTCCCACATGCTCAGTCCATGGTATTCTCAGCATCCTTCTGTAGAACCAGATTTATGTTGCTTCAAATCTCTTTTCCATCTGTCATGAGATGGTCCTGCATTTACAGCTATATATTTGTATTGACATTATATAAAATGCTGCATCGTAAATAGTAAAGGTTGACACTCATATAGAAAATAATATGGTAAACATAGACTAATGTAATAAACAGTTAAGCATTAACTCCTCGTTATGTACACGAGACCTCCCCACATGTGGCACAAGGCCGTTTGTTTACGTGGCGTGTTCCGAGAAATTGCCATTAGACTCCGTATAAACGGGGTCGGCTAGCTGTCTACCTCCCCAGACGAGACTTTACCATTCAGCATAGGCTTGTATGGGTTCCTCTCCGTCAGGAGGCAGAGTGGCGGCAAGGAGAGTTAAATGTAATCATTATCTCCTCGTGCTCACTTAGAGAGAATTCTGTTTAAATAGTCTTAGACCGGTCCATCTTGTGGGGGTGTTCAGCTACTCCACAACATAAAAGTATAGTAGGTTTTTAGAGGTTTAAATCTTCCTGTTTCTTAATACTTCGGCTAGCTTTTGGAAAGTATATTTCGCTATCCCAATGCACCTTTGCATTTCGGTATCATATTCTCTATCCCTGTTTTAACACTTCCGTGATATTTTATTTTTATGCACTGTGGGTTTTGGGCTTTTCATTTGGCTGACAACTGTACATTCCATCTTTTTACAATTGATGTTTAGTCATTTCTTCTCGCTTTCCCTTACTGATTCCTGTACGAATTCCTATATTTCCCTTGCTATCAACATTATAATGCATCCTATTACGACTTAAGTTGGTTTGTTTTGTTTTAAGGCATATCAAGTTCAATGGGTTATTAAATGCCAACAAAATTTTTATTGTTGGTAATATTTTTTCATAAAATGCTGGTAATAATTTTTTCTTCAAAAATTAATTGCTAATAATAAGCATTTATAAAAATGTATTGCTGGTATTAAAACCTATTTTTACCTTTCCATCGTGTTTTCAAGCCAATTTGGGAGTCAACTATTTACCCATAGCTGGGACCCTAATGGGATGAACCTGGGGACACTAGCATTTAAGAGGTGTTTCCACGCTCCTCAAAACCTCATCAGAGTCCTTGATGCTGGATGTAGTTTATCGTCTTACCGCGGACGCGGATATAGTTTATAGTCTTAACCAGGACGGGACGTTGATTTTTCTGATTATTTAAATTAAAAACATAAGGAACACCTACGGATATATAATTATTACAAGGGTTCTGAAAATGTTTCATCCCTCCCAAAACATGGTTGGTCATGTGATCACATTTGTGTTGTGGTCGGTCCAAGATCTTTTCCACATCACATTATTTGAGCAGTACAAAAACCAGGGTTAAAACAGTATAAGACAAGCCTCCAATTTATTAAAATGTTACTGGGTGAACATAAATTTGACGTCAAGGATGGACCTCTGCATCCTCGTGGAAGATTTGTCTGAACAGCGTCAGTAATGCTTTTTAGCGTTCTCTCTTGAAACACCTATTCCGGCTGGTAGAAAAAGAAACAAATCTCAGAGTTGTAGTCGTGATTAGAGCGACATGCGGGGCGTTGTACGCTCGTGACTGTATGACAAGGCTTTGTCGAAGCCAGTTGATTGTTCCTCGTGTCACGGTGACATAAAAAAGCCAACCTGGGCAGCCATGTCAGTTGTCGCGTTTTTGGTAAACGTACTAACGTGATTGACGTTCGCTTTTAAGTACGATGAAGTGATGGATGCCGACGGTGTACAGCATATTTTCTCTCTCTCTCTCTCTCTCTCTCTCTCTCTCTTTCTTTCTTTCTTTCTCAGTATGTTCATATCTATCTATCTATCTATCTATCTATCTATCTATCTATTTGTTCAAATCTAACTATCTACATGTTCATATCTATCTAAATCTGTTCATGCCTAACTATATATCTCAATCGGTTCATATCTATTCAGATTTATCTTTTTATACGTTCATGTCTATCTCAGTCTATTCATATCTATCTATCTATCTATCTGTTTGTCTATTTGTTCAAATATATCTGTCTCATTCTTTTCATATCTCTCTACATCACACACAGCGACTTACACGCCCCCATATATAGATATATATATTTTGTCGATTGTTTTAACATTTAGATATTTATCAAACCTTAACCTCCCAAATATGCACGTTAAAGTAACGCGAATTAACAGCGTCTAAGAATTTGAATGAAACCTGTCGTGTAACGTCTTCCTTTAATGTCGTTCTTATCATTCAACCCTTAGCCACCTTTTTTATCTAGAGACGAGACGCGTTAAATTTGAGCAACATCCAGCCGACACACTGGGGTTAAAATAGGAAACTAAAATGATACATATGACACACTCATATCCTCTCTCCCACCTCACTTCCTCATATCGTTAATTTTACGTATACTTGATGAGGTCCGTAAAAACGTGTGAATTTCTTTTCATTTTTCATTTCAGCTTTTGGAAGTAAAGTCTGATGATCCAGAACCCTATTAAAGGGGTTATGGTGAAATAACTTATTACATGGAATCTTAACGTGGTCTGTCTTTTATTCAAATATATATATATATATATATATATATATATATATATATATATATTTAAAATGCTAATTTAGCGGATATCCGTGCTTGAGTAGACGTCCCGTTCTTTTTTGTTGTTGCTGTTGTTTAAATATTGTTAATTTAGCCTAGCGGTCTGTTCCCTCGAGAAAAGTTAATAAATAATTCCTTGATTACGT